AACAGAGAGAGGACATTAGTTGACTTATTTGATGTGTATCCTCAGCTTAGACAAAGGCTGGAAAACAACAGTTCAATAAGATTTCCTTTTTTTATTAGTGCATATTTGCTGTACATGAAGATTCCATTCACTGTGAGGAGTTCCTACATATACATAATACATCTTAATTCTTTTTACAACCTCATACCCTCCCTGTCTCCCTCCATCTCTTGGGCCCTGTGATGGCTGTGTCTAGATGTCCTGCCCATAGCGTCATGAGCTCATAGGTGGAGCTTTTCAGAAGCGGCTGGATCTAGGGTGCGTGAATATGGGTTGAAGATGTGTGATAACTAAATTAGTCCACAGATCGGTTTAGCATAGTTCTGGGTGTGGATTATGGGAAGGCCCACCCTGGGTGTGGGTAGCAGTATCCAATAGCCTTACAGCCTGGATGGGATGAAAGGAAAAGGGAGGCTCCACGTTGCTTGGTTGCCTCCTGCTTAACCTGCCAAGGACTGTTTCTCCTCTGTGATGCCCCTCGCCAGGCTGCCCTGCCTTGGAGCCAGCCAACTATGGTCTAAATCCTCCACGAATTGTGAGCTAAAATAAACTTTTCCCCTTTTAAGTTTTGGTGTTAGGTATTTTGTCCCAGCAGTGAAGAAGCAATCAAGACACTCTCCTTCCCTTTTGCAAAAGATCTATCTTCCTGTTTCCTGGTATCTATCTTTTATTTTGCTCTTCAATTCATTTATACTTTGGGCTTATCCTATAAGAGAAGCCATGTGATATTCATACTTGTGTGTCTTATTTATTTTAGTTAACATTATGGCCTCAAGGTGAATCCATTTTCCTGCAAATGACTCAAGTTTATCCTTTTTTACGGCAGAGTAGTGTTGATTTAACAAATCAATGAAGAGAAAGAAATGGAATCTATCCAGCTCAGTGAAGTCACCTGTCCTGAAAATGATACCGAGTGTCAGCCAGGAGCTGAAAGCATGGGGTCCTCTTTCATTCACCAAGCACTCCCGAGAGAGACAGAGTCTCACCAGAACGGCGGATGTCAGGTAAGGACATGGGGTGGCAGGCCCCAGATACAGTGACAGGCTTGGAGAAGGTGCTGTCAATGCACACAGTGTGTGGCTAGACCCACCAGACACAGCCTGTGGCATCCTGAGCTCCTGCACTAACCCAACACACGAGGGCTAAACCACAGACAAAAGTGATTAAAATGCCATCCGTTCATCAATTCTTCAAATCTGCTTCTTCCCAACTGGTGATGAAGGAAGATTTTATGTATAGCTTATTTCCATATAAAGAAATGCAGAGTCTGACCAAAAATGTACATATCAGGAAAAAGAACCTATACATCAGGAAAAGCTAATGTAAATAAATGTTTAAATACTAAGTTTATGGAGACATCAGGAGATTAATACAAGTTACCTTGGGCTCAGAGAGGGGCCATGGGCTTGCAGACGTTTCTCTGTATGGTGAACGGCTGAACTGTGGGCGCATTCTTGTGGCGGAGCAGTGTGTACATACGTCAGGAGAGGGGAGGCATTCATGTAGACATGGCTATAGATACCGAAAGCTAGAGGGCTGCCTTTACGAGCATATTTAATAATTTCTGCCTTTTTCTTAACCGTTACCTTTATCAGCACTGCACTTATCACTGGTCTAAGAGCATCATTTATTTCAATAACAGCTAATAAAATAGTGTTGACAATAATAATAGTCCTTAACGATACATGTCCCGACATAAAGGTAAGGCTCTGTCTGACAGGGCTGTGATATGTGCAGAATCAGATCTATCTAGTGAGATTCAGGCAGTACTCATCCACAGACCTCACCCTGCCCTATCTTTGCAATTCACACTGCGGAACTCATTTTATAAAATCCTGACTGGTATTTCTTCTTTTTCTCTTTTAAGACAAGTTGAAATTATTTAATATTGAAAAATAAATATTTGACCTTTTCTAAGAAAATAGTGAGAATTTTCATCAGGGAGGATTTGCCTTATCAGGTAATGAAATTCACCACACAGCCACATTGACCAAGCAGCAGACTGTCTGGGTGGCGGAGGACAGGGGTCAGCAAGAGATGCCAATGTGACTGCGTAGGGTCTGCGGTGAATGTGGAGGTGAGGGGTGCAGGGGGCCCCATCCTCCCATCTCCACTATCCCCCATTCCACCGAGTTGGAAATGTAAGTTATGGAAGACGAAGAGGCAGAAAGCTTTGGGAAACCAGACCACGTACGGCAACCAGGAAGCCAAAACACGCGAGAAAACAGATACAGTTTCCCACAAGAACTGTGGAAAGTTAGTTGTCCACAAACACCCAGAGCAAAGGCAAAAGACTAAAAGGAGAAGACTATTTTCAGCACAAAGTTGTCCAGAGAAAATTTTGTATTTCCTTATATGACAGGTGGCATAAAACTGCTGACACAAAGGATAAAAATCCACTGAAAACAATACAAACTGATATGAAGAAATAGGAGTTGAAAAATGTCCCCGGGGCTCATGGGAGCCCGAAACGAATCTGGCAGTGTCTCCAAGATTACATGACAGGCGCAGTCCCGAAGGTCCCCATGAAGCGCAGGACAGGCATCCTGCACCTCACCAGCATGGGCAACGTCCCTGCCTTCACACAAGGCTAACTCCAACTTTAAAATACAGTTTCTCTTGGTGCTTGGGGTTCAACTTTACTTTTTTAGTATGCGTTTGAGATACACAATAAACACATGCGTCATGGGGAATCCATGCCGCGCACGTACATCTCAATCCTTCTGACGTCCCCTTCCCTAGCTCTCCTTCCCATCTTTTCCATCCCCCAAATCCTCTTCCCATCTGTACAAAGCCTGGGAGTACTACTCAGCCAGAAAGAAGGAGTCTCCTTAAGACTGGTCATGTAAAGTGAAACCAATTAGACACACAAGCTTAAATATCACATGGATTCTCTTAACTTGAAGAGCAAAATAGAAGATAGATGATAGGAAGCAGGGCTGTAGAATCTAGAAGATTTTGTTAAGTTGGGGTTAAGGAATTTCCCCTCATGTGTCAGTAGTCTCATTTGTTCATATCTGTTTCCATGGTTTGCACTACAGCTATATCAGGGGATAAGCCGAGGACGGGATGAGCCGGTCAACGTGGACACAGAGGCTTAGGGGAAGAGGCACAGAGAGCACAACAGACGTGGCCTACAGATTCCCCCAGCTTGCTGCTGCCCGGGGTCAGGTATCGCAACGGGATAAACTGAGGCAAGGGAGCAACTTCCAAACTACACCCCGTGACCCTCTTCCGGAAACCTTTCTTGTGCCACAAAAGCCTCTCTCCTGTCTACTCGAGTCACCCTTCAGGACCGGGTGGAAGACGCGTCCTTCCTAGGGCAGGGCCACTCGGACAGCTGCGCCACTGGTCCGGATCTCCGGAAGCGGAGGTCAGCAGTTCCAGACAGAAAGCAGGCGCGTCCTAGCCTCGCGGGCAGCTCCGCACCAGGAGTTCCTTCTTCCCCAGGCACTCGGGGACACACACTGTCACTAATTAAAAGCACTAATTCGTTCAACTCAACGGCATCAGATGTCATCTCTCAGGAGAACGATCCCAAGGGCCCAGGTCGGCGGGGTGGCACCGTTTTAGTTTCTGAAACTGCACACCCAGATAATTCCACGCATGGCAGAGGGAAGGGAGGCGGAGTCCGCAGCCTGGTGTTGCGTGCGGGACCCAGAGCCCGGGATTTTCAGGTCTCCGTGGAAGAGCCAAACCACGGAACTCAGGGTTTCGGGGAATTTCCTCCGCGCAGCGCAGGGAGGAAACCACTGGGGTGCTCCGGACACAGGGGACCACGAGCAGCAGCCCCGTATCCAGCCGAGAGTCCTCCCTTGTCACCAACGGTAGGACCCGAGATTTAAGAAGTCAAAACAAAGGATTATTCCGAAATTTTAAAATATGTTGACTTTTTTTTTTTTTTTTTTTTTCTTTTTTTTTTTTTTTTTTAATTAAGGAGCTAATTTACAAACTTAGGAGCTGGTCCATACGTTCCTCTTGGAGTTGAAAGCGTGCCTCTTCCGGTGCTGCGGAGAGTGAGGCGTTTTTGTTTCGGTAGCTCTAGTATGGGGCTCCTCTCTGCATCTCCACCCCAGACAGGAGAAAGGCACACGTTTTCTCCTTCTCAAGCAGCGCGATCTTTCTCCTTAATGACGGAACTCAGGATTCATTCACAAAGCGGGTTCCCTTTAGCTGTTGCCCAATGTGACATTGTGATGTTCCTTGCCAGCAAATTCCCCATCTCCTCGGGAAGCCCTTCGCTTCCAGTTCCATCTGTCACTTTAAGATCGTGACATAAATGTACAGAAGTTGACTGCAGGGGGAAACACTACATCTAGCAATGCCTTTTGGCTGTAAATACGTCTTCCTACCCCTCATCGCCATGCAGAGGAGGTAGAGAGACAGGTGCACCCAGCTCAGAAATTCCTACTAATGGGAAGACACTGAAATCCTCGGCAACCCCCCAGAAAGGCCGGGGACAGACTATTTCCCCCAAATGAGCATCAGCCTAGCGCCTCTGCTCCAGAGTTACTGCAAGGACAAAAGTTCACTGTCAAGGGTCACCTGAACATCACACTCCCACGGTAAGCAGCGGTGCAGGGCTCACCAGTAAAATCGGAGAGAAAAATGAATACGCTTATTTGTAAGCACTTGGCTAATATATGCTCATGCCCATAAATGTCCTGATGCAGTTCCTTTCTATGAGTTCCTTTTTCTTTATTATTGGTTGCTTATGCAGCTTTTTAAAGATAAAGTTTTAAAGACCTCTGCACTGCAGCGTTTGGATGAAAATGGAACTATTTCAGATTCTTAAAAAGATGCAGCCTGTTCAGCCTATAAAACAGCCTTCAAAGTCACCCGTGTATGTCACACGTCTGGACGTGCCTTCCCGGGAGATCTCCCTTAATTTGGGCATCTGCATAAAACATAATATTTCAAGGAGACGAACGGCCGCATGCACAATCGTCGGGGTTACTTACAGCACTTGATAAAATGATAGTGAGACATGTCCCCTCTCAGGCAGGAGCCCCGCTGTGAGTTCCAGCATGCTCTTGTGCTCCACCGGTCTCCCCCGGGAGCTGCATTATTCAGAGTCTCGGCTCAGGTAACACTTTACCTCGGGATGCATTACTGAACAGAGGCAAACCGCTTCAGACTCATCCGCACGCCGCAGCTGGAGTTCGCCCCAGCCTCTCTGGGTTCCCGCAGCAGCGCGGCACTGCTAGGGGAGCGCCCTTGATTGACAGGCTCTCCTAGTCCGTCTGGAGGTCCCTGGAAGAGGCAGCGGAGCTCAGGCTCAGCTCCGCTGCCCGCCCGCCCGCGCACCGAGGTATGCTGCAGTGCGGTTCCGCTGTGGGTCCTGCCTGCTAATGGCTTTTCAGTAGCTTCCACATGCAGCAAAGGAGACCTGTGAGTAGGCAGGAGGCAGGCGGCCAGCAGGGATCCCAAATTGAATCGTGCTCATTGTCCAACAGCCAAACACGACCGATTCTTAGCCGGTAGGGACGCTGATTATTTTTAGTTGCTACCAGTTGCTGTGTGTGAATAGGAGCTTGGCAGAGGAGCTCAAAATAGCCAGCTCTTAGAATCAGATCTTTTGATCTGCCTCTAGTCATGAAGACACCGTGTTATATTTTACAACACATCCTTTTGGTTATATATGCAGAATGCAAAACTGAAACTATCCACACACACAAAAAGAAGCTTTTGGTTCACACAGCTTCAAATGTAGAATACTGCTACCTCTGCAGACTGCAGTGAATTCAACTGTATCACTTCACCCAGTGAAGTCCAGCCGAACTGGAATTGGAAAGAAATATGTGATTTCCCAAAGATGTCACACTCACAGCAGCTATGTCAGAGAAAGTAAAAGGTTTTGTTTACGTCAAGTAACAATAAAAATCGGTGAGGAGTTTTGCAAAATGATACTTTTTACAACCTTTTCTGAAAACAAGTTGCTACAGTCTAGAATCCGAGTTTGGGATTTTGAGAGGTAAAAACGAAGTGTGTTGAACGTCCATACCCTTCTACAGAGGAAGCACACATAATTCCCTTTCGAAGTAAAACCGACTCAGAGTAATGCTTTTAGTAAACAAGGCTTTAGAAGTTCAGTCTAAGTGGTAACGGGTCCTCACTCTGAATGTCCACTAAACAGCACTCTAACCATTTCAGGATCGTGTCTTAGAAGAGGAAGATCAAGGTTTCCATCAGAACAGCCTGGGTTCAAATCCAAATTCTACCACTTAGCAGAAAGTCAACTCTATGCATGCAAAGTAGTGAAATTCCTAGTCCTCAGCCTGAAGTTTAGAAACAAAGCACACACAAACACACACACACACACACACACACACACACACACACACACAAAACCCCAGGGAAAACTGTTGTTGTTCAAGAAAAGGTTACCATTAAATTAACAAGAAAGAAAATATTTAGCTACATAAAATGACTGCTTTGCATACTTTAGTTTTCTCCTAAATTACAATGAGGACTTGCAGCTATCTTTATTCCACCATTAATCATTGAGAGTCACTGTCATGCAAGTCATCCTTTTCAGGAATAAAAATATATCCACAACTTAGTCTTCATGCACAAGGAATACTCAGCCTACTTTTAAAGTTTGCTTGTGTGTTTTGTAATGCAAGCGATAACTGTGTCTACCATTCCACACAGATCACTGTCCTCTTAAACTGGCATCAACCTTCATGTAATGATAGTACACGATGCACCAGTGTGGTCCAAGGTCCCTCTGCAGAAGGTTTCCCTCATCTAGGTAACCTTCCTTCATCCTCTTACTGCAGGGCTGGAATAACTGAATTAATCACTTTCCTGAAAATGGATGCTCTGCAGATCCATACTCAGCATACCTTTTAAAACAACTATTTGAACAGCATCATTCACTCTTTAAATGACAGAAGGGGAAAAATGTACAAAACTTAGGGAAGCATAATATGTTTGCACGACGAAAAGGCCCCTGAAAATACCACCGCTTTATCCCGAGAAATCTTCAAACACTTGCGCCCACGCCTGCCCAGGACTCTCACCAAAGCACCGCCTGGGACGTGCGTCCGCCTCATGCCCGCTCCCAGGCTCATTAACAAAGTGCTGATTTTTCACTCACTCACCGATTCCAGATGTATCAGGCAGCTCATTGCTTCGTGCAGTGAGAGACACGCGTGACTCCCTCCCTGCCCACACTGAGCTTGTGATCTGCAGGAAGGCACCGAAGGGAGCTATGTGGCACAGTGTGGGAGATGACCGCCCCGGAATGTCCACGCCTCAGGTGACGTGGAGGAGCCGCGCGGTCTGTCCGTGGCGAGGAAACACGTGCGACACATGGCGAGGTCTGTGAAGAACCTGGGCTGGGCTTCAGGCACGTGAGCCGTGCGGCCACGCGACTCCTCTGCCCTCAGAAGCCCCGGTGTCATTCGCGTGTTCTACATCCGGGAAGGACTGTTCAGCACACAAGGTTCACCTGCGTATTTCCCGTCCTTAGCAAACAGTGATTAGTTGCTTGTGTAGGCATTAGTACTGTGGAAAGCAGATTTGATTCTATTAAATTTGCTTCTTTCATACAACAGGAAAATGGTAATTTAAAATTTATTAAAGCTTCACCATCTATGCTCTCCCTGAAGAAACTGGACTCTGCATTGCATCATCACGATGATCACTTGAGAGTTCCTTGAATCGCGTATCTTAAATACAACATCAGAGTGGATGGTCGTAGCAATGAGAGGTTGCTGAGGTTAGGGTAGATATACTGTCAGTAATCCATCTACTTTGCAGAATTGGTCATTAGGTACGAAATTAAATCCACACATTTGAAAGGAGTTTTTTTCACCACCAGAAAACTTACGAACTAATAAAGCACAATTAATTATTTTATTATTTTTCAGATTATTACAATACGCTATTGTTCTTCCTGAAAATATCACAATATTGCTATTTTAAAAGCAATTTTGAATGCTTAAAAATCACCTTTTTCTCTTCCATGCACCCAGCAGCCGCTCACTATCTGCACTGTTTCTGATACAAACACGAGATGTTATTTGCTTTTAGCTGCTAGCGCTATTATACACTGGGTGTGTTTCACAAAGTTCTACACTATTTTCCAAGTCCCCTGCCCCCAAATAGATGAAAGTGGAGTGATGCCGGCTGGAAGCAGCATCTGAGCACTGCACACTTGCTCGGCAGGCGTATTTCAGGGCATCTAGGAGAGTCACTACTGCAGAGTCCCCTGTGACGTGTGACCGTGCAGGTCCGCTGTGCTCGTATCCTGACAGACAACTCCTGCGTCTGTGGCTCCTGTGCTCCATGCCTTATTAAATGATGACTAAAACCCTGGCCTTCAAATGGCACCGGGGGAGAGTGTGTCTGTACCACGTACTGCAATAACCACTCCAGGTGAAGTCATACATTGTAAACAGCGTATTTTCTGTAGCGCACATTTGAGTCGTATGACAGGCACCCTTGCTACTGGGGGCTGAAGTGCTAGACCTGGGTGGGGAAAACCACACCCGCGCTCAGGCACGGAGAGCTGAGATGAGCAGGGCAAAGCCTGGGACGCATGTGGAACGGCACACTGTGTCCCAGGGATCCACTGCCGGGGGTGGGAGGGACCAAGGACTCAGCGGGGAATAGACCCCGGCTCATGGTGCAGGGCCCCGGGAGTGGGCAGGGCCCTGTCCTGGAGGTGGCAGAGGAGAGACGTGAGTGCGCAGAAGAAAATGTCATCCGCACACCCATCTCTGGTCAAAAATCCAGTCTTCTTGGTCAACCCAGGGGCCACAGGCCTGGGATCCATCCTGCCTTTCGTGACTGACCAGATCCCCACTGCTCTGGTCAAATCCCAGCCCTCGGGCACTGACTCTGAGGCTGCCCGTCATCTCAGCTGGTCCTGGAACCCATTGGCTCGCAGAGGCCGGGCTCCACGACTCAATGCTGCCCCAACAGCCACATCCATCTGCAGCTAGAGCACACGGTCCTTTATGCCGGAGGTGACAGGGCAGGGGCTCACCACTCAGATCTGCAGGGTGGAAAGGCAGTGGGGACAGAGGCTGACGACCCAGCTGAGCAGTGCTCTGGTGCCGAGAAGGGAACCTGCAATGCGCAGGCCGGAGTGCACTCCTCACCGTGTCCACATGTATTTGCAGGCAGCGGCAATGTAGAGAAATAGTGCAGTGTGAAAGCTGCCCCACAAGAGGCCAAACACTGCTCTCCATGCGGTCTGACGGGGGTAACACAACAGCACGTGTGCATGTGTGCCTGGATGCACGCAGCCACCACAAGCCTAACTGAATGCCCCCATCTTTTTCTGGGATTTTTTTCCTGATCAAACAAATGTTTTGCATTGCAGTGAGCACCAACCAAATGGAGTATCGGGAGGAGAACATTTGTAAGGCATTTGTGCACTTTTTCCCTCAAATGCCCAAACCCACAATGAAATCTCTCACAGCATGTGTTTTCCACTCTCCGGGACGATGCTCCTGTTTCTAGGTGTCACTTCATTTCATTCCAGTGTGACCTGGAGCGGAAGCTGCAGTGCCCCAAGGACAGGGGCCAGGCGGCACCACAGGCTGTGTGTACTATGCTGCTGTAGGCACAGGCAGGACTGGGCCACTGTCACGGGTGGAGGCGAGAGCCACACAGGTGCACTGTGGTCTCCAGGGGAGCCGAGGCAGGGCAGATCCAAGCACAGGTGTGACCTGCAGGTTGGTAGCCGTCTGCTGAGGACCTACAGATCATCTCGATCTTCCTGAGGAGCAGGCAAGGGATCCTGAGGACTATGTGGACCCACCTTTCATACTCTCCCTATTGATATACATTGATCTAAAAAGCACCTTTTGAGTTGAGGCAGGTCCTCATTCTGCAGTTTAATCATCCATGCACTCACCCATGTACACGAAAGGTTACTTACTCAATTTCTGTGCATTCCCTCAAACTCATTTCAAACAAACTCTTCTCAGTGTATTTTGGGGTAAATGCATCCCAGCTTCTGGTGGACACTATTCCCAATCTTTTCCAGGTACCTGTCAACCTGAGGCTTCTGATACAAAGCTTTGTATCTGCCTTTAACCGTACCACAGGGAGTCTCTTTCTGGCCAGGTCATTGGTTGTCTGGAGCTTAGAACTCACTTCCCTCATCTCTGTGAAGTTCAAAGCGTTGCTCAGGGGCACAGCTGAGGAGCCAGAGACACGGAACAAGCATGAAGTGATGACACTTGCTGTCCTAAGGAGCAGGTGTCTTATGTTACTTACGGGTCCTCCAGAGGGTGGGAGGGGGGCTGGGAGACAACCTCATCTTCCTGTGAGCCTAGAGTTCAAGCAGACTCTGTCTGCTTGGACTTCTAACATTTTGGGGAAGGTGGTGCACACGGAGATTTGGGAGCAGATGTGACCCTTCTTCTACATGAATACCCTGGTTGCAGATTCCAGTCTGGGCTACAACAGATAAAGTG